CCATCCAAAACTGGAGATGCCTCCCCAGTCACCTCATCGCAGCTGCAGGGCAAGGTGTCCTTGACTTTCTGAGAAATAATGTTATTTTGACTATATATCACCCACCCTCTGTATAATCCACCCTCCCATTTTCCCACAGTAGAAAATGTGGCAGGCCTGAAGGCCCAACTGTAAAAGATGGCTTCCAGGTTTCACAACAAGAGTAAAAATCTCAAACATTTTTGTAACCTGACAGATAATAGCTATTACGGTTGGCTATGCTGTTAATCACAAGAGTATGCATGCGTGTTTATTTAAAAAATGAATAAAGCCACCTCACTCATAATTTGTAGCTTTGTAAGACACACAAAAGAGAAAATAGTGCAAAATAAACAAACACCAAGAAAATAAAAAAATAATATTCAATACACAACAGCAGCTGGTGGTGAAAACATGGAGACGCATTACTGGAAGGGCTTATTCCAAAGAGGGGGTACAGCAACAGAGAAGACATGCCTCTTAGATGGCATTGTTAGGTGGCATTATTTCAAAAATGGGTTTGTCAACTCTATGCAACCATATGGGACCGGAAGAGATGATAAGAAGAGATGGTCATGCAAGAGATGTGACACCTATAGCTTCTATATAACAAATAGCTTCTATATTTAGACCTAAGGCTTATTGTATATTTACAGAATTCAGTTAGATAACTCTTTACAGGACTGCAATTTAATGTTGTAAAATGAGAAACAGATTATGTATTAAAATATTTTATTTATAATGTAACATTTAGTAATCCTTGAACATATAAATCAAATACTGACAAAAAAACCCTAAGAGTAAAGAAACAATCAGTGCCTTACATTGATTGTCATTAGATGTTGATAGCGTACAGAACCCATATTTTTAAGCATATGGCCTTCATCAAAAATTGCATAATTAAGTTTCATCTTGCGAAACAGGTTACGATCTTCTGGACTACTAATTGCACAGTTATACCTATCAAAAGAACAAACTATGAGTATATGTTGCTTTGCAAATATGCATACATTTATTGATTACATACACATACATACATACTAATTCTAGCATTCATTTAGTCAGTTCTGATAGTATAATAATGCATGTTTCTTGTTTAAAAACTTGCATATTTAAATGAAAGACCAATTTAACTCCAGCAAGAGTTTAAAGAACCATTACCAGAAAAAATATAAAATTGCTGGGAGTATTTGAACTATAGCATTAGAATATTATATTATTATATTATAATATTATATTTGCCTTTGGTTGTACGTAACACTCTGGCACAATAGGCACAACTATTTTTCCATTACATATACTCCTTGTTTAGCAATTGCCTCGGATAGCAACTATTCTAGTTACAATGGTGATGAAATGCAACTTTGTGACCAATGCTTACATTTATGACCTTCTCGATGTCTCAATCGTGTAACTTAGTCAGTTAGTATGCATTATCTTGTGTAAAATCATAAGCGCAACCATAGTCATGTGATTTTTCACTTAGTGAACACATTGCTAAACAAGGAGTATATGTAATGGAAAAATAGTTGTGCCTATTGAGTGTTACGTACAACCAAAGGCAAATATAATATAATAATATAATAATATAATATTCTAATGCTATAGTTCAAATACTCCCAGCAATTTTATATTTTTTCTGGTAATGGTTCTTTAAACTCTTGCTGGAGTTAAATTGGTCTTTCATTTAAATATGCAAGTTTTTAAACAAGAAACATGCATTATTATACTATC